CTGAGCTGACTGAAGAATTCCTGCCCCTCACAAACACAGGACTCATCTGTCACTCTGCTCGGGATCAGATTATTTTTTAATTAAAAAATTTCCTCTCTAGAAGAAAAGGGGAGCAGGCGAGGCAGCAGGGAAGGAGCACAAGGTGTGCATTTTTAATTGGGCGCAATTAAAAACCTGCCGCTGTGCCACGGCAGCGCCCGCGGCCAGGCCCGATTTGCATGAGTAATTATTCACTCCATTACAGAGCCCGCTCAACTTTGCCTCCCTTGTCTTTGAAAGTATTAATAAATATTGATCAGACGCTCTCCTGTTTGCCTTCGCCCGAGCAGCTCTGATGGACTCAGCCTCTGATGTTATCAAATAATGAAATATGAAAGAGGGAGTGGGACCAGCCTCTTGTTCTGTGATTTTTTATTTAGGCTCTTCATTTTCCTTTCACAAGTGTGTTTGTCCCTGCCATTAGAAACCTTCTTTTGATTGTCAAGAGGTGGCTGAGGGAAGCGAGTTGTAAAGGATGGAGGGAATAAATAAATGGAGGACAGTGAGGGGAATCTGCTCCGTGGAAAGCTCCAGATTCACTTTAAAACCACAAAGGAGGCCAAGTGCTTTGTGGTTTTAAAGGTGATGTTTAAAAACCAAGGAAAACAGTTAAAAGTTATCAAAAGCTCAGTCTGTCACCTGACAAATAGGTTAATAAATAATTATGAGGGATTTGCAAAGCTAAGCAAAGAGCAAATTTAGCTCCCCAAGATCTCTTTTGGTTTTAATGTGGGCACAGGGAAGGACAGGGAAGCTGATTTACCCTTCCCAGACCATCAGCCTGGGCAGGAAAAGCTCCCAGGGCTCAGCCAGGGGAGATCTGGGGGCAGAAGAGAGGAGCTCAAAGCAGGGGTGGAACTGGATGGGCTTTAAGGTCTCTTTCAACCCAAACCATCGTGTGAGTCCCAATAAAGGGAATTTTTATCACTTTGACTTTAAGACCTGCCCATGTTGGGTGCCCAGAGCAGCTGGGGCTGCCCCTGGATCCCTGGCAGTGCCCAAGGCCAGGCTGGACAGGGCTTGGGGCTCCTTGGGATGGTAGAAGGTGGAACAAGAGGAGCTTTGAGATCCCTTCCAACTCAAACCCCTCTGGGATTTTAGGATGACGTTCAGCATGAATATGTCTGTGCTTTGTTCAGCTTTCTCTGCTCGTGGCACTGCTGAATAAAAGCAAGAACTCGTGGAATTCTGCAAAAGGAAAGGTCTGGGCCATTGTCACAATCCGTCCTTACAAACAGGGTTCGTGATGATTCAGGGATTGATCTCAGGGTGCAAAAAAACCGACACAGCACAGGGGATTTGCAGTGATAATCAAAACCAATGCAGTTTTATTGAGTGACCATAGCAAAATGTGATAGAGGGATTAAGGGAGAGAAAAAGATAGAGAAAGAGAGAGAAAAAAAGAGAGGGAGAAAGAGGGGGATATAGCTACCAAA